ATGGATAGATTGCAGGTGTGTGGATAGCTAACAAATAAATTGTTAGAAAAAGGAATCAGAGCATAACAACAGTAGGAATCCATGAGTTGGGCATTTAAAATTTTAATTTGTTTGCTCGAAGTATATTTTGATATCTAGTTATAATAGGATTTATACAGGAGGCATCAAAGCAATTTATGATCCTCTCTTCCAACATGAATTATTTTAATAAGATGTTTTTCTTTTTTTGATAAATTTGTCTTTTGTTATTTTTATTTTATATATATTTTCTTATTGATCTTTTTATTTCTTATTTTTTATTTTGTTTAAAAAATAAATGTATGTACTAATTTATTGATAAATGATTAAATACAATTATTTTTATATGTTACATTTAGATATAAAATAAACTTTTATCAACGGTACAATAATTTGATTTATTTCTTATTTTTTATTTTGTTTAAAAAATAAATGTATGTACTAATTTATTGATAAATGATTAAATACAATTATATTTATATGTTACATTTAGATATAAAATAAACTTTTATCAACACTACAATAATTTGATTTATTTTCAATTGAAATTTAGTGTGCAACTTTCTATGTGATGACTAATGAGGATATTGTTTGAACATTGTACTTTTTTAATACATTCCTATTTACGAATCCTCTCGACTAAACATAGCTATTAAATTATTTTCAAACATTATTATAAATATTTCTATAAAATAAATATAGTTATCTAAAATTTAAATTCAAACCTCTATAATTTTAAATATCTAAATTCGAAGATAGTAATTATCTATTCGAAGACAGTTTGAGGGAGAACTAGAAGGGACTTGCCATGATTGGAATCTGGAGGAGATTGGAATTTGAGAAGTGAAAAACTTAAAAAAACAAATTTAATAAACCGAATGGTATAAACCAAAAAATTAGTTTGGCCATTTTTTCTCTTTCTTTCTTCTTAGTTTTGTCGCACTCCTAATTATCCTAATTATTCTGGAATTTGGATAGTTGTCCAACTCACATCCTAGTATCCTACCCCTAACAAAAAAAAAAAAGTATGTCTGAGAATGATTTTGATAGAGAAAAATCGTTTTTTTATTATTTTTTAGCATTTTTAAAATTACTTATATTCTCAAATCTCAACATGTCTTGATATTTTATAACACAACTTATTCTCACGAAATATAACAAACAAGATTATCTTTTCTTTTTTCTCACGAAATATAACAAACAAGATTATCTTTTCTTTTTTCAACTGAAATGGTCTGTATTTTGTTGGTCGTTGTTGTTGTTCTGAAAATGAAATTAATAGAATGTTGCATGCAGGCAATCTATTGATATGCTGGGAAGTGTTCATTCTCCAAGTCTTGGGCTTATAGCAACTCCATCATTAGCCAGATTAGGAAGCTCGTTTCTGTCTTCTTCCATAACAAGGAGATTCACTCCTGAAGCGTTCTCTTCTTCCCTATCCAAACCATTCCTCCCAGTCCCCACTGCAATTGCAGTTGATGACCACCTCAAACACCATAGCTCTTACTCTCCTCTCGGCCCTCATCCACTTCCCACCAGGCGCTCTTCCTTGTCCGTCCGGAAGGATGACAAAGACAAGTCCGTCGTCGCCATTGACGCCCATGGCCTTCCCATTTCTCGCCAAAGCTCCTTCGGCCAAGCCGTTGTTAATGGTAAAAAACTGCCCTTCTACTTCTACTTCTCCTTCTTCTGATTCCATTCCAGAATGAAAATTAAATTCTTTTAATTTTTGCGATTTAGGTATCAATGTGCTGTGTGGGGTGGGAATTCTTTCGACCCCGTACGCCATGAAACAGGGAGGATGGATGGGGATTTCAATTTTGATGGTATTTGCAGCCCTTTCTTTCTACACTGGGATCCTCCTGCGTGCTTGTTTGGACAGCAGGCCTGGCCTCGAAACTTACCCTGACATTGGCCAAGCTGCTTTTGGCGCCACGGGCCGTGTCGCCATTTCGGTAATTGTCATTCATTTGTGTTCTCTTTTCCTTTCGGAGTTTCTAGGTAGATGGGGTTTAAGATTTTGATGAGATTTCTTGTGGATGCAGATTATATTGTACGTGGAATTATACGTAAGTGCTACTTCTTGACTCTGACATTTTATTAATTTTTGGGTAAGGCTTACTTAACGTTGGGGACACTACTAAATTTGATATTCTACATCACACACCATGTGGCAAGTTTCTTGTCCGCCAGCGCTCTTTTATGACTTTGGGACCACGTTTTGATCTGGGTCTCTTTCTTTGTCTGTAATGGAAAAGACCCAAAGTTTTGAATCGTCTTAGAATAATTGAAATAGTATGAATTAGGTTTATTAGCTCAGAAAATGTTGAATAAGATTTATTCGAGTAATTTCAGTTTACAATCTCGAAATACCTTCTTTATTACTTTCTTTAGTTACCATTGTTTATCTGCGGAACTTCAATTTAAAGAGAAAATGACGATTTGAATGACGATTTTTTGAAAAAAATTATGACGACTTAAAAAGAAAAATAAGACTGATGAAATAGAAGAAGTGATCAAAACTCTTTTTTTCCCGTTAATTGCATGTTCATGCATAGGATGCTTGGCATCTTTAGGAGATGCCCAAGTGTTTGAGAAAATTACTGAGAGAAAACATCAAGCCTAGCCACCGATTTACATGTTGAATTTTGTACTGTAGCTAACTACTTTCGACCTTTGGCTAATTGAATAGGCAAAACGGTTCTTCTTTTCCCTTTTTTTTTTCCTCTATGTTTCTTCACAATGATAGTAATTATTTTCTTCTGAAAGATGGAACTTAGCCGAGAATCAAGCACCGATGTCATTATCTTAGCTGTTTTTGTTTCACAATCCATTCATTGTCATTTGACCTTTTCTATTTTCGGATAAGGATAGAGGATCTTCGACATCACCCTTTACAGTTCCTCATTCTTTTCATTCTTATAGATTAAAGATATAGCAATATTATTGAATTTAGACCAGAATACATGATTTCAACCAGAAAATCTGGATAGCATGTGGACCCTCTGACAAATGAAAAGGATTTTCCACTGGGCCAATAAACGTCTGGTGAAAAGATATAAAGCTTATTCATCATCCCTAAGGCAAACGTGGGATGGGACCTGCATTATAACCCAAATCAATATTTTTGCATAACGCTTGTGCCTGCTGATGCAACGTGCTTCTTTTTTCCTAATGATTTTGAAACAATAAATTAGGCACAATGTTGACGAAGTGACCAAACTAGATATGCTAGTCTTGCAGGCTTCTTGTATTGAGTACATAATTCTGGAGAGTGACAATTTGTCTACATTGTTTCCCAATGCGCACATAAATTTTGGCGGATTCCAATTAAATTCACACCTTTTATTCGCTATAGCAACTGCCCTTGCTGTTCTTCCAACTGTTTGGCTTCGTGATCTCAGTATTCTAAGTTATATATCTGGTGAGCTGGCTAAAATTTATCAGTCAAAATATATTTACGAGTTTACTTGTTTATTGCTTACATTTATTGTCAGTATTATATTGGCTTCTTTGTTTTTGTTTCAGTTGCCACATACTCTCTCTGAGTTGGTTATTTTCCGCGCATCATGTTACACCAATTTTTTAGCCAAATATTCTGCTTTGAAACTCCAATACAATGTCGCGCAACAAATGTTACTGACAAAAATTGTTGACTTGTTATTATGAAATGACCTATTTTAGTCCTGAGTCTCCTGACTGAGGCTTCTGAAAAAATTGTTAAGGATGGTTTTTTCTTCCTTCTTCCTTGCAGCTGGTGGAGTTATTGCATCAATCACGGTGGTTGTGTGCTTGTTCTGGGTTGGGTTGGTGGATGATGTCGGTTTCCAGAGCCCGGTGACTCCACTAAACCTCTCAACTCTCCCAGTTGCTCTGGGTCTGTACGGCTTCTGCTACTCAGGACATGCTGTATTTCCTAACATCTATAGTTCCATGGAAAAACAAAGCCAATTCCCAGCAGTCCTTTTGACATGGTAATTTCATATAGTTAGCCGTGTTCATCTCTAACTTTCTACTTCTGCATGTTGCTATTAATTTGATTTAAATTTGTATCATTCTTGAGGACCTCTGAAGTAGTAATCATATAGGCCTTTTAGTGCTTTTTGTTTATCGTTTAACTAGTTGCTAAACTCAGCTCCAATAGTGGAACTCCATGTGTTAACATGTTTTGGTCGATCAAAATTATTGACACATTTATTTATTAATAATACGAAGAAAAAATGGGGCTCTGCTTTGTCATTTAAGAAATCTTGGCGTTGCCTGATTTGACTGTTTGTCACCCTTCTCATTGATGGACTAATAAGATCCCGCAAACTATTTATAAAAAATAATCATCTAAGATGTTTACTACACTAATAGCATTTAATTTCCTTAAAAGTGCAGTTTTGGCATTTGTACTTTGATGTATGCTGGATCTGCTATTATGGGATACTTAATGTTTGGAGAATCGACATTATCCCAGTACACTCTTAACCTGCCCCAGGATTTGGTTGCCTCAAAGATTGCTGTGTGGACTACGGTATGGTGGTCAATTTCTCCTCAAACGATTCATTGTTGATGCTTAATTTTTCACCTTGTCAAAATAACCATATTTGTTTCCTGGCCTATATCTGTTTTCCCACCAAACTGCTCGTTTAATTCATGTGCTGTATGTTAAAGAAATAAAATCTGATGTCCAAATTCTTTTTGATATGGAAGGGTGGCACAAGGATCTTAATTGCACTCCTGTTTTTTAATACCCTTATATTTAAAACAATGCTGTTACAATTGGCAAGTTCGCCATGTGCTTGTATTATTGTTTTTAATTTCACTGAACGTGCTTCATTGGTGGCCAAAAGAAAGTTTGTTATTGATTTGAAAGCATTAGTTATATTAAATGTTAGATTGATATGATTTGTATGTGAGGTCAATGAAGGGATCTGCTATGCTAGCTCTCTGTTTCCCTTGCATGGTCTTATTTTAGTGTTCTGTAGTTGTTTCTGCATGTTGTTACTTTTGTACCCAATTTCTACTGTCACTGTCTGCAAACCAATTGCTCATGTTTCTTATTTGTCCTTTTGCAGGTAGTAAACCCCTTTACCAAATATCCTTTCAGTGTGATATATACTTGTTACGAGTACGATTTGGCTTGTGCCCAAGCATTTAAGTGAACTTCACAACAAAATTCTTTGCTTCTAGTAGCTTCTCACGGCAGTATGATTTCCTTGACTCACATCCCATAATATGAAAAAGGCCAATATACAAATTACTCGTAATAATCAGAAACTAATATTATGCTCTTAGTCTCATTTTTCTCGTTTTTGCTCAACCGTAATTCTGCAAGCATATTTGAACCAGAAGAATGATGTTTCTCCTTAATTAGTCCCACATATGCATTAACAATATCTCCAGTTGCAATGAGTCTGGAGGAGTTTATACCACCAAACCATGCCAAGACTCATATTTATTCCATGCTCATTAGAACAGCTCTTGTAATTTCCACCTTACTTGTCGGCCTTTCTCTCCCCTTTTTCGGTAAGTTAAGTTTATCTTCACGACTTTATTTCCATACCAATCTATGGTGAAGAAAAAGCTTCATTTTCTTCAATCACCTCTTGGCCTTGGCAAAATGAGTGAATCCTCACTTCCCAATGCAGGTCTTATGATGGCATTGATTGGATCGTTGTTAACAATGCTTGTGGTAAGTCTTTCTTCTGCAATGCAGTAAGTTTACTCGTCCGAGCTCTCGAGATCCTTCATTTCTGGTACTAACTCATTCATTAATGGCTGAACTATCAAATCTGTCTTGCAGACTTTAATACTCCCTTGTGTCTGTTACCTCAGCATTTTGAGGGGGAAAATAACATTTTTGCAGGTAAAAACTTCCTCTGCTTTCAAGAATTCGACTGATCAATTACATAACATCATTTTACGTAAAGACCTTTCTTTTCTTCTTTTTTCTCTACAGAGAGCACTTTGTCTAATAGTTATAACAGTAGGAGTTGTTGCGTCAGCATTTGGATCATATGCATCTCTCGAGAAAATCATTGAGAAATTGATGAGCGGCTGAAGATTTATGTATTCTCAACCGGCAAGGATCACTGGTTATGCAGCATAGATTCTGGTAGATTCTGTGAGTTATAGAGGAACTTTAGGTATCATGTGAACTTGTTTGTCACTACCTTTAGACATCAATCAAAACCATTTTGTTACAATATTAATAGAGATTGTGAATACAGCCATGGATTCTTCCAATTTCTCGAATATCATGACTGCAACTTTCTTGGTGCACTTCCCAGTTCCAATTAAGATGTTTTAGCACAATTTATGGAGTGTAAAGCCAGAGCTTATATAACTTGTGTAGGGCTTCAAACTTCAAAGTGCTGTCACTTCATTATTCAAAAGGATTGGAGAAGAAGAAGAAGAAGAAAAAGAAAAGGTATTTCATCTCTTCTTTTCTCCTTGTCTTCTTCCCCATTGATAAATAATCATTGGTTTTGGTTAGGGAAAATTCCACACAAATTAAAACAAATTTGCACTCAGTTTTGGACACCTCAAGAAAACACCACCAATTGAGCTAATTTTTCCATAACAAAACTACTGTACTTGATCCAGCAGTTCAAGAAGCAGTGATTCTTTACACAAGTAAATTTCTTTTCAAAAGAGGCACAGTGTCATTCCTCTCGAGGTTGTTCAACAAGTTTTCACAACTTTGGGTCTCCATGCTAGGCAAATCAAACAACCATTCTCTCCAATAAATGGATTCATAATCCGTTTTGTCAAAGGTTCACCTTTTGATTCTACAGAATCGTCGTTAGAAGTCGAGCTCTTTACTGGAAGCTGAGGGCTTCCAAGATCACTCCCTTCTACAATTCGATTTACCATCTCCGTGACCTCGCTCATTTTGGGGCGCACCGCAGCCTTCCGAACCAAACAGCGGTTAGCTACAGCTGCTAGTTTATAGGCAGCTTTAATAGAATACTTACCTTCAAGTCTTGGGTCCAGTATCAGCTCGAACTTCTTTAAGTCGGATAGGTGCAGTCTGACCCAATCCAAGAGCTTTTGCTCGCCTTTGGGGCGGTTCCGATCTAGGGGACGCCTACCAGTAATCAGTTCATACAGGAAAACGCCATAGCTCCATACATCGATTTTTGCTGTGAGTCGTCCGGTTTGAAGGTATTCAGGAGCTGCATATCCAATTGTTCCTACAATCTGCACATGGATATAGTCTATTTATTATTGAATCAGAATTCACTGAAAAATAAATGCGCAAGACTGATACGAACCGCCGTAGAGACGTGACTTAATCCATCTGAAGGCCCAAGCCTGGCCAATCCAAAGTCAGACAACTTAGCATTCCACTTGTCATCCAGAAGTATATTTGAAGACTTGAAATCCCTAAATATTATCTGCAAGAGTAACGATGTTCACTAAGTTCACTAGCTTTTGCTCAAGAAAGTAATCTCGACAACATAAAATTCTTGCAAAATCATAAGGTACCTGGAAATCCATTCCTTCATGTAGATATGCCAAGCCACGAGCAGTATCCTGTGCTATTTTCATTCTTATTGCCCATGGAAGAGAACTATGAAACCTGCTTGATAAATGATCCTGCACACTCCGATTCGGCATATATTCGTACACGAGTAATCGCTGGATCCCTCTTTCATCATCCTCTGCACAGTAGCCAAGTAACTTGACGAGATTGGGATGTTCAACGACGCCCAAAAAGTTAACTTCTGTCACCCATTCCTTGTGACCCTATTGGATAGGACGGTACCGAAATCATATAACTTCTGAAATGCAATACTAATCATAAAGTTCATGACCAAACTAGCTCATTATCAACTATTAGGTCCTACAAGTAATATCAAATAAATTTATCCAGCTAAAGCATTCTCCACACACTTGATAGTAGATATTTTACATTACCAAACTAATACTACTGCATTCTTTTCATTGTTTATATTCCTTTTTAATCAAAATTCTCAAAATAAGGCTCTAAAAGGTAAAGGCTTTTAACCAAATTTCCAAAGCATGTCCATGCTTCAGTAGTAGAAACAATTGGTATGCAGCTAAAATCGATGTAATGGGCTAGTATACTTGTTCTTTCCCATCCCAAAACAGTTCATACTCAACGAAATTGGATTCCGAGAGATGAAAAACTGTAATCAACCAGAAGTATAAAGGAACAATAGAGGTTTGTTGTTCAGGTGGATGTTATGGAGGTGTGTTGATAGAGCTTCTTTGTGGATGTTGTGGAGAGAACGGAACAACAGAGTTTTTGAAGGAAATGTCTCTAATTTTGACAGGTTCATTGAATAGTGTACAGCTTAAGACATCTCTTTGGTGCCATAAACACAAGGATTCTTTTTGTAATCATAGCTTATCCTCGATTCTACAGGATCGAAAAGCGCTATGCTAGGAGGTGCTCTCTCATCCCCTGCCCTGAGGTTGTCTCGTCTTTGCTTTTAGTTTGTAAATTTATTTGTAAATATGTAATTATGGCAATTCAAACTCAGCATGGACAAGAAAAAGAACAGATCATGGAAACAAGTTCATATCTAAGGAAAAAAAAAACAAAAAACTTTGGGTAGAAAACTTGCCTGCAATCCTCTTCTACTCAATTGCTTAACAGCAATATCTATTCTTTTATATGGATCTTCTGTGTTGCGAATGGCCCCTCTGTAGACACTACCAAATCCTCCTTCTCCAATCATGAGTGAGCGGCTGAAATTCTTTGTGGCTGCTTTCAAATCTGAGAATGTGAACTCCCTAAGATTACTCTGTCTCTGAGACAAAGCTGCAAAAGATTTAGCGGAAGATGCTGCACTGACTTCTGAGACATTCTGAGAATTCAAATCAGAGTCAAACATCTTAAGATCTTGATTCATCGACGTCGAATTAGAGGCCGAGGAGAGAATCGAAATAGATTTCGTCGTAGTCCTTGGCTCAACATTTCTCTCGTTGTTGAATAAATAGAAACACTTCATAGTCAGTCCCCTCCAAAAGCTGATTCCCTCACTGCACAAAAACAACACCACACAATGTAAATTCTGAGCCTGATCAAGTATATTTCTGCTTATGTATTTGCTAGCTCTAACTGATCTTGATTCAAGAGGATGAAACCAGAAAATTGAGGAGCTTTCATATTCAAAAGCATGATTTCTAGCTGTTGGAGAAACCCAAAAAGTTTTCCTCACTTTCAAGTCCAGATTTTCAGTGTTTTCTTTGGTATGATATCCAAAATGGATTCATTAGATTTTCAGTTTCCCTCTTGACCCCAGATGAAGGAAAAATTCTGAATTCTCTTGGAAATCTTGGACACTGAACCCCACTACGAAGAAATTGAGCTGATTTTATAACACAAAGTTTAGAAAATCAAGAAATCTCCATTGCTTTCCACAGAAAACTAAGAAGATCAGGGAGGAAGAAAAATTCACCTATCATATATGTCCAAACTTGTGTCGAAATTTGAAATGCATTCGCTGAACAACAGAAACCTCAATATTGACAACCTTAAAGAGCATAGCAGGATCCAGAACAGAGGTTTGAGAACATTGAAGGACACGACGAGCTCCCCATGATCTAGGGGAAGTCAATACAAGGCAGCTAAAATTCAGCTCACCAACCCAAAAACCCATTTCAAAAATAACCCAAAAACTCAAAAAAGAAATTAGAGGTATAGAAACAGTAAACGCCCAACAAAAAAGATATTAAATTTCAAAGGTAATTGACAAGCAGAAGGGACAATCTTGTAGCAAATGGCTGGTTTTTGGTGTGAAAAGGGGCCAAGAGAGAGAACCGAGTGAAACAAGGAAAAGTCCACAACAGGGGAAGAGAATGAGTCGTGGATTTGTTCCCCATGATTATTAAATATTATAGAATTCTATCGTTACGTGTCTTCCCAAGCAGTCTCTATCTGGTTCAGATTTCCAGAAAATCGCCAAATGGATATTATTTCGCCCTCTGATTTAATAAATAACCAAATAATCTTTCCTTAATATCATAAAATAAGGGCTCTTAATGTGTTTGATCGTAAGATTCGAAGGTCAAGATCTGCGGAGTTCGGATGAGGTGTACCGAAATTCGAGGCACCTACAAAATAAGATTAGTACTCCAACAAGCAAATCAGTACTCTATCCAATCTATTCCTCATTGTCTTTGCACCTGTAGGTGTTCTTCAAGATTGGTTCGCACTTGGAGTAGGTCGATCGGTCGGCCAAACGTAGATCAGTTTGGCTAGCATTTGTCGAACTGTCAAGACATCTATCAATTTGAAAGTTACTATTGAATTTCTTATCATTTTATAGAAAGCTATTTATGATGTTAACACGTGACAGGTTATAAATGGCCTCCAACCTAACGTAATTTCTACTCGGTTTATGAGATGGGTTAACGTTAAAACATTGATTGAATTTTCATTTTGTGATGGTTAGAAATGATCAATACGCGGAGGAAATTTAGGAAGTATCCTCTCCGTATAAGTGTTGATACTATATTTATAGAAAAGTCAGCAACTTTTTTTGCTAGAAGATTTAATAGCAATAAGTACTTGGTAAGTCTATGGCTGGGCCACATGATTAGAGATGCATTTAAGGAGATTCGAAGAAGTACTGGAAATGATCTTACAAGTGTAAGAATCATTTATTCAAATTCTTCGCAATAAATATCTCCATGGACCCTCAGCTGCAAGATCTCTATCATATAAGATGATATTAAAATGGAGTAGATCAAGTTGAGCTCAGGAATTTTGGGTCCAATTTAAATGTTCAATTTTTCCGACCTAAACAACTCTAATTAAATCACGAAACTACTTATTGGTGGATTCAAATGATGAAAGTATTAGTCTCAAATATCACTAAGTAGGGGCAATATTTACATGTGGTTGGAACTTTGCAAGAATTTGCAAATCATAATGATTTTAAAATCATTTATGTTGTTGGGTTAGTCAAGAAAAATAAGAAATTTAAAATTTAAAAGGTTTTGAAATCATGTTTTGTTAAAAAAAAATTCATTTCAAATAAAGGTTGGAATTAAAAAGTAACACATAGCAAATATATCCTATTTTATAGGACAACAAAAAACATTATATTATTATTATTTGTGTATACAATATCATACAAAGGCCTAACAATAAAATGTTATACTTTCTTTTCATTTCTCGTGAATATTCAAAAAATTTTAATTTAAATGATTTTAAATTCATTTGATTGAAAGGAAAGAATTTGAACTCATTTACTTCTTTTAAATTTTTAAAATTTGAAATAATTTCTATCCAATCACGCAGCATTAGTGCAGATAGCAAAAGAATAAAAAATGGTGAGATAACAGTAAAGTAATGTTGGAGTAGAAAACAAAGATTTGAACCATTCTGTTTGCTCCACTGAGATAAAAACAAAAGAAGCCTTTTGAATGACAAAGGCGTCCATTAAGTAGAGGTTTCATCTTCATCTTCATCTGATCTTCAAAGACAATACTTTTCAAATGGTGGGAGAGAGATTAGAAAGTGACATGGAAATGGTATTTTCAAATGATGAAGTTTGTGGATCACAATTACCATCTACTTTTCAACTTTTCATTTACGTGAGGACTACAGGTACTCTCTTTCAATCATCTTGTTACTTGTAGAATAAAATATTCACAAAATTTAGCTCTTGAATGAACTGCTATGTCATTTCTTATCATTTTTCCAACATTATGCTCATCTTTCTCTCTCTCTCTCTCTCTCTATATATATATGTATATATATTTGTCTTTATGCCAATGTTTGAAATCTTCAAAATGTTCTGTTTTTCTCATGCATCTTCTTTCTATGAGGAGGAGGTTTAGACATCAATAAAAACAGAAGAGTTGGATTGAAATAGAGAAGGAAAAAAGTGAAGAAAGCAGAGGAAATGGGAACGTTTGAAAACAGGATATTCAAGTTTGTAACTTTTTGTTACTAGAAGTAATAATAAAAGTTTTACCTTCAATTGGAATTCAACCTTTTTTTTTCTCTTCTTTTTCTCAATTGAAATGGGCAAGTATTGAAACAGTGAAATCAGGAAGCTGCCTAGCATTGACATCAACGAGTGGCGGCCATAGTTTATTTATTTTTTTAACATGTGCCATGGAAGAAGACAACCAAGTGCGTCAAATTGGCGTCTGAAAATTGAAATGTTCGGCAGGGAGAAGTTGCAAAGAGGACCAAGACTGAACATAGTTACATGAAAACTTACAGCAGCCTCCTTCGTGACCCCACGTTGTCTTTGCAGCCTCTCCCTCTCTCTCTCTCTACACCCACCAAGTTTTTTCCTCCTTTGACCTCTGACGGCTATGTGAAAAATGGTCGTTGAGCTTTTCAAACTCCAATCTATAAAACCCATTTCTCCTCCTTCCTTAGATCTTTATCTTTGTGATTTAACTCAAAAGTTTTTGTTGATGTCTTCACATAACTTCTAATTTTGCATTGACTCGAAGCTTAAAGTTATGAACTTGAAGAACCCCAGAATTTGTTCCATTTTCACGGCTCTTCTTCTCGTGGGATTCAGCTGGGAACAGTTTGTTCATAGCCAAAATGTGGATGGCAATCAGTTTGTTAGCCCTGCAGCACTTCCATTTATCACATCCATGGCCAACAGTCAGCTCTCCAATTTGAGCTCAATCATCAACACCGAACTCAGTAGCCGCTTCAGTTTCTGCTCCAGGGACTCGTTAGTTCTTTTCCTTGAACTTCCAATTCTGCGCTCTGTTTGATGATAGAGAACCCTGGTTTACACTTTACTCTTTTATGGGTTCTGGGAAACGAAATAACGTTTCGTTATGGAATCTTGAGCTAGGAGCTTTTTGACTTATTAATTTAGTTCTGATTCTGAACCACAAAGCGAGGCATAGTAATATCCTTGCCATTCTTTTAGATGGTTGTTCAGTTTGTTACTTCTTTTGCTTGCAAAATGATTTGAAGATTAATTTATTGTTTCAGGCAAGCTGATTGGAACAAAGCCTTTAACTTTTCGTCTAATCTCGACTTCTTGTCATCTTGCCTACAGAAGAACAATGGTATGAGTAATCCGTAAGTAAAAAGAAAAAGAATCCTCCATTTCTATAGTAATTTGGTAGTGTCACATTATTCTAATTTCATTTTTTTTTTGCAACAGGGGATCTCACAAAGCGCCTGTGTACAGCAGCAGAAATCAATTTTTACTTCGACAGTATCATTGTTCAAAGTCCTGCAAGTGGCTCCTTCTTGAAACTTAACAAGAATTGTAACTTGACATCATGGGCTTCCGGTTGTGAGCCAGGATGGGCATGCAGCATTGGCCCTGATCAGCAGGTTGACCTTAGAAATTCCCAGCAAATCCCTTCAAGAATGCATGATTGCCAAGCTTGTTGCGAGGGTTTCTTCTGTCCTCAGGGTCTTACATGCATGATACGTAAGTATTTAGACATATAACTATAACTGCTTGCTCTTCACAATTGACTGTAGTTTCCGTATTTCAGTGTCAGCATTACTAGTCTCTAGGAAATATGAAGTTGGTCATTTTCATTGCCCTTGCAAATTTTGAGTTTTTAAAATCTTGTTCTATACCCTTTATATAAATTGCTGATTTTTTATCTTTTGTTTCCCCTTGGTTATGCAAAGGCCTCTCACTTTCTGACGGTTTCTGTCTTGTGTGTTGTATCTCACAGCATGTCCATTAGGATCCTATTGTCCCTCTGCCAAGTTGAATAGAACAACTGGAGTATGTGAACCGTAAGTTCAAAATATAACTCTGTAATTCATTTCTCTATGGTCTTTGGCATAATGTCACTATGAAGTTATCCATTTTCTTGATTTTGCAGGTATCTTTACCAGCTACCACCTGGGCGACCCAACCATACATGTGGAGGAGCAAATATGTGGGCTGATGTTGGCCGTAGTAGCGAGATGTTCTGTTCAGATGGATCTTTTTGTCCATCAAGCATCCAAAAAATTCCTTGCAGTAGTGGGTATGGACCTGTATTCAAGCACTGATTTGTTGTCACTAATGTTTGCTGGTTGAAGCTTCTTAGTAAGAATATCATAAAAGTTTACGTGCTCGAGTTATGTCCTAGTTCTATATCTAGCTTTCTAATCCTATTCATTTCTTTTGCTGCCATGGCAGATATTACTGCAGGATGGGTTCTACTTCTCAGAACAGTAAGTGCTATACTGGATTCCATATACTTGCTAATTGCAACGTAAACTATTTTCTCCACTAGATGTCTCTTTCGACATGTTATTAATATTTAGTTATTCTATTCTGGATCTGTTCCTTTGCTGAGTAAGACATGGAGAGAATTTGACGTTTCGCCAAATATCTTGCAGGGTGCTTCAAGCTTACTTCATGTGATGCAAACACCACAAATCAGAATATTCATGCTTATGGAGTTATGCTCTTAGTAAGTAATTTACCCGAGTGAAAAATCTGAGTAAGCTGGCTGTATGATTGTTCTACTTCCGTCAGTGAAAGGATTCAAATCTTTCAAACTACTGTTTCTGAATTGCAATACAAACTTCATGACATATTTGCCATCGAATGTTTTGGGTTTCCTTTTTGGTTTCAGTTTCAATTGTTCATCTTGCCTTTCCATTTGTAATTTCTTACATAGAAAAGTTCTGTATCAACTCTACTAAGATAAGGTAACAAGAGGGATAAAGGTCGGCACTTTCATTTGCTTATGCAGGTGGCTTTGAGCACTGTGCTACTCATAATTTACAATTTCTCCGACCAAGTTCTTGCTGCTAGAGAAAGGAGACTGGCTAAATCTAGGGAAGCTGCAGCCAAAAGTGCAAGGGCAACAGCAAAAGCACAACAAAGGTGGAAAGCTGCAAAAGATGCTGCTAAGAAGCATGCAAGTGGGTTGCAAGTTCAACTTTCACGAAAACTTTCGCGAATGAAAAGTTCAGATTCAGAGAAATTTAAGATTTTGAATCAATCTGATTCTGAAATGGATGACAATTTATCAACTTCACATTCACATATTCCAACCACGTCGTCGGCCTCATCTGTGCACATAGAAGGAAGAAAAAATAATCAGATTGACCTCATTGGGATGATACATGAAATTGAAAGAGACCCTGATGGTTATGAAGGCATACATTCTGAATCTGGAGGAGGAGAGGGTACTGAGAAAAACATGCCAAAGGGAAAGCATTCAAGTACTCGTAGCCAGATTTTTAAGTATGCTTATGTCCAGCTTGAGAAAGAAAAAGCTCAGCAGCAAGAGAACCACAATCTTACTTTCTCTGGTGTTATTAAAATGGCAACTAATCCTGAGAAAGGAAGGCGTCCACCAATTGAAGTTTCTTTTAATGACCTAAACCTTACTTTGAAATCAAAAAACAAGCATCTTTTGAGGTGTGTCACTGGAAATATCAAGCCTGGCCGGATTACTGCTGTCATGGGTCCATCCGGGGCGGGAAAAACAACGTTTCTTTCTGCTTTGGCAGGAAAAGCAATTGGATGCAGGACAACAGGTTCTATTCTAATAAATGGGAAGAATGACTCAATTCTGTCCTATAAAAGAATTATGGGTTTTGTGCCTCAAGATGATATCGTACATGGGAACTTGACAGTGGAAGAGAATCTATGGTTCAGTGCAAACTGCAGGTATTTTCGACGTCTACTTTATTTGTTATTTAATGCTTTAACTTGTAAACGTCCTAACCATCCTAAGTACGAAAATATCATGCATTGTTTTCCTGTTCTGAAACATTGGCTTCTAGTTAGAGGCATACGATTGACCATAAGATGGAAATCATGATTTTCTGGATTTCATATTTGGTCTCTTTGTTCTGCATGTTTCAACTATTTTTATCTTAGAAGTTCAATACTTTGTCATGATTAATTTGTACAATAGTGATTTATTTGATGATCGGGACTTATTATTTCATTAAAGAACTATTGAAAAACTTATTCTCTTGAAATTTATGTTATTGCTTGCCTGGTTTTCTCTTTTGTGAACTTGCATTTTCAGTTAATTATTTTGGTGGCTTCTGTTAAGATTTCGCTACTGACTATGAGCATTTTGCTAATGGACTGCTTATTGTCGTAGACTTTCTGTGAACTTGTCCAAAGCAGATAAGGTTCTAATTGTTGAAAGAGTTATTGAGTTCTTGGGGCTCCAGACTGTGAGGAACTCCTTGGTTGGGACAGTCGAAAAGCGAGGAATCTCTGGAGGTCAAAGGAAGAGGGTGAATGTCGGATTAGAAATGGTGATAGAGCCTTCAATTTTGCTCTTAGATGAGCCAACATCTGGGTTGGACAGCTCTTCTTCTCAACTGCTTCTTAGAGCACTCAGGAGAGAAGCTCTTGAAGGTGTGACCATCTGCATGGTGGTTCATCAACCAAGGTAGCTTTTACAACCATACATATGCAAAAATAGTTCTGTGCAGGTTTGAACATGTCCCCTATTTACTAATGTGTGAATTCCTGCTTCAGCTACACCTTATTCAAGATGTTCGACGATTTGGTTCTTCTTGCAAAAGGCGGTTTTACTGTTTATCATGGACCAGCAAAGAGAGTTGAAGAATACTTCTCTGGCCTTGGGATTAATGTCCCAGAGCGTGTCAACCCTCCAGATCACTTCATTGATATTTTGGAGGGTATAGTAACCCCTAATGCAGATATTAGCTATGAAGAGCTTCCTGTTAGATGGTTGCTTTATAATGGTTACCCAGTACCAGCAGATTTGCAGCAGAACTCAGTCGGACTTGCTACGACGACCACAGCAGGTGCAGAGCAAATTAATGGAACAAGAAACCGTGTTTCTGTCGAGCGACAACCTTCTTTAGCTGGGGAGCTATGGCAGGGCGTGCGAAGTAACGTTGAGGAGCATCATGAAAAATTAAGACTGCACTTTTTGAAGACCAAGGATTTATCACATCGAAAAACTCCAGGTGTACTTGTACAGTACAGATACTTTCTCGGGAGGTACATTATATTCATATTCTTTTTAGTTTGAAAAGCAATCTAACATTTTATAGTAGTCAGTTAAAAACCTTCAACATAAATGATCCAGAGATATGGTGTGTCAAAGAAGTTCTTCATGATCCAATTCTCAGAGCTTTACACGTCTCTACATTTTCAGGATCTTATCATTAATTGCTGACATATGATCTCTTCATGGCCATGAATTTCAGGATTGCTAAGCAGCGATTACGTGAATCGAAACTGCAAGTTATAGATTATTTGATCTTGCTTCTTGCTGGTGCCTGCCTGGGATCTATTTCAAATGTTAGTGATCAATCTTTTGGTGTGAGTGGCTATGCCTTCACCATTATTGCAGTTTGTAAGTTACCATTTCTTGTGCTTCATTTCATGAATGCAAACTGAAAAGGCCACTATACTCATTCATTTTTCTCGGCGCCGCTGACCGTGATTGTGTCTTGATTTCAGCTCTTCTAGGCAAGATTGCGGCTTTGAGAACATTTTCTTTGGATAAGTTGGAGTACTGGAGAGAGAGTTCTTCTGGCATGAGTAGTTTGGCTTATTTTCTCGCAAAGGACTCAGTCGACCATTTTAATACCGCAGTTAAGCCGTTGTTGTATCTCTCTATGTTCTATTCCTTCACCAACCCGAGATCTTCCTTTACCGATCATTACGTAGTTTTACTCTGCCTTCTGTACTGTGTGACGGGTATCGCTTATGCTTTGGCCATCCTCTTTCAGCCAGGTGCAGCCCAACTGGTTAGTGAAAGAAAAACAAGTTCTTAGCTTGATGATTTGAATCTGCATATTTCCCTTGATTCTCACTGGCAAAAAATGTACTGTTTTATGCAGTGGTCAGCCATTCTTCCTGTTGTGCTGACCCTCTTTATAACAAGGACACAAACTAGTTCAGCATTGAAGACTCTGTCCAATATTTGCTACCCCAAGTGGGCTTTAGAGGCATTAGTGATTGCAAATGCTGAAAGGTATGACTCAAGTTGCCCTTTACTCTTTACAGTATGCAATTCACAATCAAGTGGCAGTTTAGAATGCTAGATTTGAAACAATGATGATGGAATCCGATGACTAAATCATCGTCGTCGAACGAAAAGTGATCGACAGTTCAAACTTGCTAAGAAAACTGGCCTTGTTGTACAGGTATGATGGAGTGTGGCTGATAACTCGCTGTGGAGCTCTGAATAAAAGTGGGTTTGACCTTCATGACTGGGGCCTCTGCCTACTCCTCCTGATGGCCACAGGTGTGATTTTTCGGGTAATTTCGTACGTTTGTATGTTGATCTTTCGAAGAAAGTAATGCGTGAACTCCAAGACTCGTCACCTCTGCCATGTTCTTCAAGTAGTTAGCAAGCTAGAGCAAGAATACACCATCAGAAGTTCATAACAGGAAGAGACAGTTGAGAAGTTGTATATATTTTACATACTGATTCCTTATTCTTTTATTTAGCAATGTTGCTTCTTCAGGCTCATTATTTGTTGTATTCTTTTGGCAAAAGTTAAAAAGTAGATAACCCAAACCCTGTTTTGTTTATTACCATGTATAGTTTATTTGTAGTAGTGACAGTTCAATTTTAGTTGATTAAGAGTTTCATAAAGACTAGTTTTTTACTTATAAACTTGTGTATGCAGTTTAGGAATATTCCACAATCAAATATTATCTCATTGAGTTCACCATTTCATTTTGAATAGATCCTTTTTACTAGCTTTTTATTTTGATCCTTTAACTTTGAATTTATTTTATTTTTCTCTCAACTTTCAAAATATCATTTTCAGTCTTTACGCTCTAAAAGAAGTAAATTGAACTTTCGTAATGTCTATTTTAATACTTGGACGTTCAAAAAAATGACATTTTATTTTTGTTATATTATCTTTCTACCTAATATCTAGATATTCAATACCCTTAATACACATACTTCAATCCATGTTACCATCTTGTTAAATCAAAATAAAGATAAAAGGACCAAATTTGATATCATTTTAGATTTCAAGCAATAAAATAAACATTTCAAAAGTTGATAAATCAAAATGAAACAAATCTTGAAGTTCATGGACCAAAATGTTGAAATAATAGGAAGCAAAATATGATTTTGTCAATTGAAGGGCCAGGTCGATTAGTGAACTTCTATTGATGAGAGATTCAACCCGGACTCGTAACAACAAACTTGTATATGGCCCTAAGCCGAATCAATCAAGCAATAATAAACCAAAAGAATAGACGCATTCGACTAATTAGGAAGAGGAACCCTGAATTTTGAAAAGTTGGAGGATAAAAATGAGCAAAGAAGTGCATCATTTCCCATTTTTCTTATTGGATGTGGGAAGATTTTTGAACTAGTTGGAAGTTGTAACTGCATCCCCTCACCTTTGAGAGAGTTGATTTTGGGAAATTTTGGAAGCAAGATGACTTGAAAAGTATCAAGTAATCTCATGTGTTTTGAAGATGGAAGTCTTCCAACAACATCTCTCTTTACAAGAAACAAATTCTCTCCACATTTGCAACAAAAAATAAAGGAGAGCAGAGCCAATCCAATCCAATCCACTGCTTAAGGATGCTACAAGTCTCCATAACATCCTTTTTCTGTTTTCTTCCATTCCACCCAGAGATATCATCAGTTAACTTTCACCAAACTATACAAATCTCTAAATAAACAAGTTTTACGATCGCTACACAACTATCAGTGAACCTAATTTTAGACGTACAACACTACAACAGATATCCCACTCGCTTCTATCGAAACAAACCGAGACCGGCCTGAACAATTTTCAGACGGGTTGGTCAATGTAATGCCCGGTTTTTCGTCTATGTCGACTATAATCTGACACAAACCTGAAAGACAGACCACAGCCTTCTACCTTGCACTTGTATGGCCGCTCCCCTGTGTGCACCCGGATATGCTCCGTCCTGGCCCATGCCCACTTGAATGACATGGAACAACCTTTCCATGGGCACTTCAGAGGTCTATCATCATCGTGCACGCGCTGGTGAAGCATTGCATACTTGTGAGAGCTGAATCTCTTTCCACATCCTTCATGTGGGCACTGGTTGCGTTTGTGCAAGGCTAGTTCTGCCCTCGTCTCGAAACTCATGCGGCAGCCTTCAAGGTCACATTTGAAAGACCCTTTTCTAATTTCTTTCTTACGCTTTGGAGAAAGCGCGTCGGGCAGTTTTCTGACTCTCTCTCTCTCTGGTTTTTCCTGTACTGATACAACATCAGCACCAGTTCTGCTAGTCAAATTCTTCCCAACCCTTGGTCTCAACCCCTCGCATGGACTTCTTATAAAATCACAGGAACTGAACCCATTTTCGATTATAAGCTCCTCCTCTCTCTTTCTTTTTCTTCGCTTTTCCACATCTGAGCTTGGGTTTGATTTTAAATTCCTCGTGTTTTTGCCTTGCTCATTGTGCTTCGATGAACAGATTTCAGCCACATCATGGGTCTCCAATGTAATCGGAGAAGGATCGTCAACATGCTGATTTCCACTCATATTTGCACATTCCATGGCATCATCTGGTGTCATTCCACCAGTCAAGTTCTCTCTATCACAGGCCTCCTTTCCACTAGCTTCAACATCCATGGGCCTACCTTCCCCTAGTATGCAAGAGTTGGAGCCAGGTTCATTCACCAGAGATCTAGGTTCAGTACGCATCTCGATGTCAGAAAGGTGCTCTTTATCTTCCTGGCTTCCAAGATTTTCAAAAGATCTTTCATCTGCTAAACATGATGACTGTTGAGTTTTCGATTGTACCACAACACCAGAAACTGATTGAGTTTCAACATCCGCATCAATCTGGCAATTATTTACTAAATCAACTGATGTTACAGCATTGCACAAATTGGGGGCTTCACAACCCACCCCTGGAACTTCAGAATTCTCATCCCTCGAGTGAGAAGTTGCAGCACTCGCTGTTCCAGTATTCACTAAAATGGGTTCACTCTCGTTGCTTCTACATGTAGGCTCCATTTCTTGTTCTATTCTATCTTCTAAATGACCCAATTGGCTGTCGCATTCAGTAGCTACACAATGCTGCTGCTTTATTGGGATTAAACTACAAGAATCTTCCTCCACATCTTTTAGTCTGTTAGCAATCTCAATTTCTTGCTCCGCATCGTCATCCTTAGTTGTGCCATCACAAGCTTCACAATTCAAATTCCTAACATCTGCATTGTCCATCATAACTTTAGAACTCTCAAAATGGATGGAACTAGTTTCATCCAAGCCCACATCAGCTAGGGCATGCGATTGCCCCTCAGAAGCAATATCGCACACCTGATTCGTATTATTGCAACTTCCCACAATTTCTTGCTCTTTATGCATTTCCGATTCATTGATGGCGTTGACATGTGGACAAGTAAAACTTGGTAGTACAGCTTTTTCATTTGGCTCACTCGTGTCTGATGTGGTCATGATCTTCTGCTGCATCCCAGAAGTATCCACTGGTAAATGACAAGATTCACCATTAACATCAACAACTTCCGGGGTACAGTTCTCAATCCGGGGCTCAGTCATCCTACCTACTACAGCACAGATGGAATCAGCTACCATTGAAGAGGCAGGGTCTGAATTTGTATTTCCACGATCTTGAAGCACTGCATTCTGCTGATTGGTTGTCCCAATTGGACCAGGAATAGCCAACTCTGATGTATTGCTTCTGAAAGTCCTCATATTACATAGGTCGATTGAATCTCCACTGCTAACTGGTTGTGTAGCAGAACCAACTCCTTTAGAATTGCCTGATTTCTTGTTCCTTCTGTAGTACTGGAAAACCTTTTCTTCTCTTTTCGCTATTTTGCAATCAGACCTTTTCCCCAAAACTTCATCCTTAAGTGGCATGCTCTGGAAGGGTTTGTAATACCTCGGACGACTTATCTTCTTCGAGCGTGATTTTTTAGATGGCCAATTGATAGGGGAGAGATCAAATCCATGGTTTCTGTTGAGGAACAAACCACCCAATTCCAAAGCGTGCTGGACTTGCTTTGTTGGGGAGCTTTTTCTAACCTTAACACAGTGCCGCAAGTTGATTCCCAATCTAGAGGTCCAGTCTTCTCGACATTCATTGCGTTCTACATCAACTGCAAGATCTATTAATCTCAGATCCTCCTCAGATGCGATATCCAATCGAACCTCATTGTAAACAAAATGGTTCCCAATTTCCTCTGCTATGGCCACGGCATTTGCCTTTATTTTGTGATAATCTACCCAATTTGCAAACAGAAAGTTATCAACTAACCAAATTCAAAGCAGTTTCATAAACTATGAAAATAAAAGGGTAAGTATGAAAAACTAAGAAATACCTGAATGGCAAATAACAAGTATATTCGCTCCACCTTTATTCTTCAGTAACTCTATTATGTCCACAGCATGCTGCAAGCAAAAACTTCGAGGTCTCAGAAATTTACCAAACGTGCTCCACCCTTTGTCAAACTTGGGAATTGATGCTACTGAAAGATTCTTTGAGAGACAATTAACATCAGGTACAGAAGTGGAATCTTCTGCAAAGTAAATTAGCCTGTTATCTCAGAACTAGAAGAATTTCAGCCGTGGAAGAATGAAGACATATATTATCCTTCTTTAACATATATATCACTAACGATAAAAATTCCATGATATCTCGTTCTTTCTGACTGGTCGCATTTTAAAAAGAAAGGATTTTCATAAAATAAATCACAATGCAAGGCATGGTGCCAAGTACCTGGATGAGTGCCACCAAAGTCTGGAGAGTCATGAGCATCCTTTGGTCCAAAAACTCCTCCCCTTTTATGAATAGAAAGATTATCTGCAGAAAGTTCCCTTGCCGCCTTCTCTGAGGGCTGTACCACAGACATAAATGGAAAACCGAGAATACCACAGGCCACACACGCCAATGTCCCAGAATCCACTTGGAAGTCACATGACAAATCATCGCTTTCCAAGTAAATATCATTCACTGTATCTAAATCCAAGGTCATCTCATCCATGAAATTCTGCATATTCTTGTCATTGCCATCAATACTTTCAGTATGGTTGCATGAAATATTCTCTTTCCGCGAGGTTGCAACTGCAGAATTTGTAGCCACTTGAGAATTACTTGAATATGGAAGCATGTCTGGATTCCACAACACTGCCCGACAACTTGATTCTTTTTCTAAAAGAACAGACAACATATTATTTTCTCTTAAAATATCCTCAACAAACCCTTTCTTAACCATAAATTCTCTCTCTTCCTTTTGCCGGTCTCTAAGTCGTGAACTCCGGACACCTGGAAGTAAGGATCTAGGAACTCTGACATCCACATATTCAGACGAAAGAAACATGAGAGAAGCAATCAGTTAGATGATCACTGAAGCAGAGACACAGCAAGTGAATTAATTCAATTTGTCGGTTGATGCAATTAGAAGAGGAAATACACAAAATTTGCATAAATCTGATATAAAGTGAAAGCACATCTATCTAAAACGGGTCAACTCAAGAAGACAGCATAATACAACACCACCACCACCACCACCACCACCATCGTCATTATTCTTTTGATGAGAAACAAAAGCTTTTCATTGATAGAATGAAAATAGATACCAAAATGGGTCAAAAACTCTGTTCATTGTCTTGTAACGAGCAATTCTTTAACTTAAAAAGGCATGAACCCCACCTAAAGTCTTATGTATCCAACAGAAAAGGCAAATGATCCGAAGTGCTTCAGGCCTTCCTCGTAACTCTAGAGTGTTCGGGCTTAGAAATCCAACCCACGGAGAGAGAATTTATCAACCAAAGTTTGAAGAAGCTGCTCCCTCACATTAGACCAAGAACTGACTATTGACCATAGAAATTTTGATAATGGATATGCCGTCAATGCATCTATTAAATTTTTACATGCTTCGAGTCAAAGGTTAGGTCCCCCATTTGATTAGAGGACCACCTACAAACACTAAAATCCCCCCCCCCCCCACCCCCACCCCAAAGCCCCAATACACCAACGATTCAAGTATTTTTCTATTTCCACCAAAATGCCTTCTCCTATTATGATAAGAGGGAGACTGTAAAATTCTAGACACCCACCCTTCAGCCCCATTTAGCAAAAGAAGTTTGATAGAACACGTAGAGCCACCAAAGATAACTTCTTTCACCATAACGAAGTTACAATCTCACAGTACTAAGATGCCTCCAGAGACCCAACTTTCCTCAAGGATTAACCAGTTAATCTCCCTAGAGATCCAAAGTGACATGATAGTCCCCCTCCACCCTATTAAGCTCGGATTCCAGCAAAAAATGATATATGGATTGATAGACTTAATAAGGCTTCTTAATTCACTCCTCTTCTACCTACACTGCAAATCCCTCACATTTAAAGACACAATTTTCACAAGAATTGTGTCCTCTCCGAAGTCTCATACATGTAGCTTTGATCTGGATCATCATTCACTAGTTACAGCACGTTTTTTATATTCTCTCCCTTCAA